TCCGGCGGAGAGAACGAGGAGACGGACTCAGTTGGGGGCGGAGGTGGGAGGAGATGGGGGAGACGGAGGGAATGGCAAGGGTCGAGGGCGGGAGGGTGGTGCTTCAAATCCAGAAGAGTGCGCTGTCAGGAATGAGATGCATTTCTGTAAGTTGGAGTTGCTTTACACTGAACATCAGGGACTCGGTGCTGGTGGCACGAATCCGTTTCTTCTCCCTCTCCCTCTCACATCGCCCCCCCAAGCGATCCCAAGCGTTCCCCGTTTGCCACCTCCCCCATCCCCTTCCCCTTCTCCCACTAGTCGCCATGCATCCCCTCGTCCCCCTGCTCCTCTTCGCCCTCCTCTCCCTCATCCTCGCCGAGGATGCCGCCCCTTCCGCCCCTGCCACCCCTTCCGCCCCTGCCACCCCTGCCGCTCCTGACAGCCCCGACCGCCGCCTCCTCTTCGTCGCGGAGCTGTGCCGCCACGGCGACCGCACGCCCCTCGAGCACTTCCCCTCCGATGCGCTGCCGGCCCCACAATGGCCGCGGGGGATCGGCCAGCTGACGTCCATCGGCCAGCACGCGCACTACGAGCTTGGCGGCCGTCTCCGCGAGCGCTACGTCGCCACAGGCTTCCTCCCCGCCACGTACAACCGCGCCCAGCTGCACGTGCGCAGCACGGACATCGACCGCACGCTGATGAGCGCCCAGTCCCAGCTGTCCGGGCTCTACCCACCCGGCAGCGCGACGCTCGACGACGTGCGCACGCGCTTCGACGCCGCGCCACTGTCTGACGACCAGGGCGGGCTGCCGTATCGCTTTCAGCCCGTGCCCGTGCACACGGAGGCGAAGAAGACCGACGTGCTTCTGCTGCCCGGCAATTTCTGCCCGAGACACGATGTCATCATGGAGGAGAAGAAGCGCGCCTCTGCGTACACGGACCTCGTCAGGCGCGAGGCCCCCTTCCTGAAGGAGGCCGCCAGCATCGCCGGCGTCGATCATGAGCAGCTCACGTTGTTTGAGCTGGAGAAGCTGCACGATACGTGGCGCTGCTTCCGTGCGCACAGCGTGCCGCTGCCGAAGAACGCCACCGCGAGCGTCGTAGAGAGGGCGAGGAAGCTATCGGACTGGTTGTTGACGTACGGCAATCAGGGCAGGGAGGTGCAGAGGCTGCGCGCGGGCTTGATTCTATACAACGTGTTGCGTTACATGGGCGCGGCGTACTTGAACGACACAGACAAGCTGCCGGAGGAGTTTGAAGAAGACGCGAACAGGTTTGTCCTGTTCAGCGCCCACGATACCACCGTCGCTGCCACGCTGTCCGCGTTGCGCGCCTTCGACAACAAGAACCCGCCGTATAACTCCACCATCATCTGGGAGCTTTTCGAAGAGCGCAACGCCTCTCTCACTGTCCGAATCGAGTACAACGGCCGCGCCCTCGTCTTGCCGGGCTGCACGGCCGAATTCTGCCCCATCGAGGAATACATCGAGTCCACGAGGGACCGCACCGTCCACGGACAGAGCGCCAGGGGAGCCGAATGCACTATTGGCTGGCGCCGCAGCATGGCTATGGCTTCCATCTGGTTGTCTCCGAAGAATCTGGATCCCCTCGTCGACGCCCTCAACCCCACGCACGTCCGTAAGCAGGGGGCTACGCAAATATTCGCCGTTGTGGCGGGAGTTGTCGCGCTCGTTGTCGCCATTATCGGTATTTGCGGTTTTGTGCGCTTGCAACAGCGCTACAAAGGGTACGCGCCGACAGAGGCTGACCCCAAGTTCGATGAGTACAGCATCAACCACCCGACCGTCACTGATCAGCGTATCCTCATGTAGTTTTGTTATGACCTTCAGTTTAGAAGGCGGTTTGAGCTTGGAGGCATTCCAAACTCAAAGTTCGGCAGCTCTTCCGCTCCGTAGCAGCGCAGGCCTATTTTATTTATACATCGTCTAGTTTTGCCCTAACCTTATCTTCGTCGCACACGCTCGACACAGCTTTGTCAAACGCTTCGGACAGGTCTTTGTCTACATCTACCGCCCTGCCCTCAATCTCATCGACTTGCTCATTAAATTCAAGCGCAGACGCAGACTTTCCAGGATTGCAGAGTTTTCGCAGCTTGACAAGGCTGCCACGTACCTCAGCGACGGCGCTTTGAAGATCCTCATCGCCAGTCGCTGTGACGTCGTCCTTTCGAAACTGCTTATGGAAGGAGACTTCCGCAAACGCCAAAAAGCGCCGCGTCTCGTTGCTTGGACTCGTGTCTGACTCGCTATAAATTGTGTGGATCGAGTCTACGATGGAGCCAGTGTAGTTAACAAGAGCCTTTTTTGTTGTGATGTCCGCTGTTTCGGGCTGCAAAGAATTCATTATGAGGTCATGTAGCACACCAGCCTCTCCTGTCTTGTCCGTCCCAGAAGTGGCCAAGGAGCTCACTGTGTTGCACAGACTTGAGGCTAGCAGGCTACCTTTTGCCTTGTCAGCGTCTTTAAAAGAGCTGCAGAGAAGCTCTCCCAAGAGTGATTCCAAGGCTGCCTTTTCTTCAAAGCGACATTTGAATAGAAGTAACTCCGAGAGGAACCCATCCAAAACAGTAGGGGCTCGTGGACTTCCTGTTGCGTGGGCCTCGACAACTTTACAGTCTCCTAGAATGCTGCCAGCAGTAGAGAGATATGATTCGGACGTCTTCAAAAAAGAGATCGACTCTTTGCCTTCTTTGGCTGACCTACGCTCGAGAACGTGAACCGCTCCAAGTTGATATGAAACGCGAAGCATTTCTATGATCGGTCGCGTTGCCATTCCAATCTCTGTTATCCAGGTTTGAGTCTGCATGTTTTGACAGAGCGAGACGAGAAAGGAAGTGTCGCTTTCTTCTAAAACGCCGATGGCAATAGCATCTGCGCAATACGCATACGTAATGGAGACAAGTCCCCGGGCAAATGGTTGATCCATTTCCGAAGCTTGCTTCCATAGATCTTTCATCGACGACCACTCCAGTAGAGCCCGCAATTCCTCCAGCACAGAGCTTAAATCTACTTTTCGGGAAAGTCGCGTCACACATAGTTTCCACGCAAGAGAGAGGCAATCGAGTAGATGGTGCGGCTCTGGGCGCTCTTCCTCCGTTGAGGTTTCGTCAGAATGAGCTTCCAGTGTGTGGTCAATAGCGCCAGTGCAGCCTTTCCGAACGGATTGTATGAGGTCGGCTGCGGTGCTTCGAAACTCATCTCCTCCGTTCGAAGAGTGCGGGTGGAGTGACAGCAGAAAGTCGAGTTCCTCTCTTACTTCAACGCCCTCCAGCAGCACAGCTGCACAAGACCGTAGAGCGAATATCGCGTTGCATCGAGTCATATACAACTGACCTACCGAATCTTTTTTTTGCGACCGGTTTTGCCGCCCACTTTGAGATCTTGCTGACTTTGATCGTTTCATTGACTTCGTCGGAACACGTTTCGTGCGATGGCCATAAACCGCGGCATCTGCCCATCCGGAGACAACTGTTGAAAGGGTAGTCAATCTATCCCATCGCACTGCACAAAGCATCAAGGCGGAAAGCAACTCTTGGAAGCACTCCCTTTCACGAGGAGTTCCGCGCGGCCATTGCAACACCGTCTCTAGTTGCTCTCGCCATAAACCCCCGAGGGCAGCCACTTTAGCATATGACATGCAACTTGCGATTCGCCAGCATATTGCCCTTGAGTGGCTTGTGTTTCCACGTTCTATGAGCAACGTTTTGAGGGCATCTCCCCCGAATATGTTATCGATATACTTTCGCAATGCAGCATTCGCTGGTTTTCCGAGACTCGTCAAGATGGAGGACAAGACATCAGCAACAAGGTTCAGAAGTGTTGCACGATCTGGTTCTGAGGGTCGTGACTTTACGATCTTATCTGAGTCTCCCATGATATTGTTGTGAGTCGGGGGCTCGTTCTCATCATTGACTTTCGTTCTCGACCTTCGCTTACTGCGTCGCGTACCTGTTCGGGTTGGTGCTTTCCTTCTCGGTTTAGTCATCGGGGTGTCTGTATCTTCTGGTGAGTCCAATGCAAGCGCAGAAAGCCTCATCGCAAACTCGCACAGCGGCCCCGGAGGCGCATGAAGATACAAGTGCCGGTAAAAATGTTCACAAGCTTCCTTGCTTGTGTGCAGCATAGCGAGGCACGCCCTAACCTGACTGGATGCGATTTCGTCGGCTGTCTTGCCTTTCTTTTCAAGCGGGAAATACGCCGAGGTGAGCAGAGACATGATCTTCATGGATCCAGGGGCCGATTCCAGTGGTAAACGAATCAACAAGTCCTCTACGGGAACGATTTGAAAGTACCGCAGATGCTGCAGTCGCTTTGATTTCACCCTCACGAGCAGGTCCAAGAACGACAGCCGCACGCGCTCCGCATTGTCGTGTATCAAGCACCGCAGCCGCGGCAAAGCAACAGACAGGTCGTGATGCGCGAGATGATTCTGCGCAACAAACTTAAGGCCGTAGAATACTGCGCATCGAACTGGTATCGACGTTGAGTCGAACGCAAGCTTCGTGGTTAAGATATGAACCATCTTCTTGGCATATTGCAGCGGAATGATCTCCCACAAAAGGCCTAGAATCCTGGAAGAACCCTCCACGGTAGCCTGACGAACGACGGGAGCGGGATCATCGTACAGCTCAATCAACAGCTTGCACTGCTTGCCGACAGCTTCTTCGATCTCCTCCATGGAAGCGGTCGGTTCGTGGATGGGAAACGCATCGGCCATGATCATGACAGCATTCTTCCTGACAAAAGGGTTGGCAACTGTGAGGTTGTCGTACAAGACCGGCTCATACAAGCGGTTCAAAAAGCTGTCCACGCCTGGAAGCCTCTTATTCGAATGAAAGGATGATAGAATGGTTCTCAAGTTAGTCGCAAACGGCTCGATGCCCGCGCAGATAGCCTTTTCTATGACATCTTTCATAGCATCGAACATCCACTGCCCCTTGTCCTTCTTCCACGCCAACAAAAACACGCCACCATAGTACGCTGCTCTAGTCTTCCTGGCCGTCGCAAGTTGATTCTTCAAAGACGCCATCACGGCGTCTCTAATGTCGTTGAGACCGAGCAAAAAAGCGATAAACTTCCTTCCCTGCTCCAATCTCAAATACACAGCGGCGGTAGAACACCTCAACAGCAAATTGCGAATCGTCTCCGCATCCGAGGCGTCTTGCGCCAGATGCAGAGACTCCAACGCATCCCTCATGTTGTAAACGCGTGTGACATCGCGCGACGACCCGCTCCTCCTCGTAGGCTTGTTCCCCTCCGCAAGCGCGTCCTGCACCTCTCCGCCGAAAGTGCGGACGAGCAAAAACAGCATAGTTTGCGGAATGACGCGATCACGCACGGGGTCGTTGGCGTGGTTCTGCCACACCCATTCGCACAGCCTGGAGACCATGTTCTGCATGGGGCCCTTGGGCAAGTCGAGCAACACGTCATGCAGTTCGCAAATGATGTCGCGCAGCTCCGCTACAAGGGGCTCACGACGGTTCTGCACGAGCATCCATAACATCTCGGCAGCGGCACGCACAGTGTCGGTGTCATCAGTGGCTTCTTCATCGCTATCTTCTGCCTTTGTAGCACAGGAGAATGTGGCAAGCGCGGGCTCCAGCGACGCCCACAGCAATTTCCCTAAGTTGGAATGGCGGCGGGCTGGGAGAAATGTGAGGGCCTCCGCGAGATCGAATGCGTCGTCACGCACGCGGTGGCGGACGACGATAGAACGTAAGGCCTCAGGCGTTCGCGCAGAGAGAGTGGAGAAGAGCCAGTCGACGGCGGCTTCCATGGCGCATGAAGGTGAGCCCGCGGAGGTCGTCCGGGATGGCAAGGTGATGAAACGAAATTGTATAAACAGCTGCCGTTACAGCGTGAAGCATCAGACTGTGGCCGAGATTTGAGCGGGGAAAAGAATGGGTTTGAATTTCAAAATAAGTGCGATTTTCGTTCAATGTTTGAAGTTTTAAATATGGGAAAACGGGGGATTTTGCCTATGTCGACTCCCCACCTGGGCAACGCGATGAATTAAGACCAAGCGCGAAAAACATGCTGTACGGTAGTCCTCCTTGTACAAGATATCACAAGTTACCATCGACCCTTGACTCCCGTCCAGTTTGGTTTCGGTCTCCCCTCTGCCTATCCCTCACGCGATGTCATCCATCATCAGCGACCAATACATTTCCCCGAGCTTGATCGACCCGACTCTCTCCAACGTCTCCTGATTCTGTTCCAAAATCCTCTGTGTCTTTCCCTCGCTCACGTACTGATCCACAACGCGTGCGCGCAAGAAATTGATCACCGGATACGGCGCCCTCTTATCAAAGTTGAGCGCGGCATCCTCGTCGCCCACACCAGCCCACTCATGCCTAGGGTGAAAGCACGCCAGCATGACCTCATCAACCATGTCCTCGTCGCGCTCGATGTCATCCTCCAGCGCGACGCACAGCGCGTGGAAGCGTCGGAAGTCGTCCTCCGCGAACGCCGGCAGAACAAGCAACGACGTTGACATGTCGTCGGGATGCGTGGCGAGCAGAAGCGAAATTTCCTCCGCCACAGCCGCTTGCACTCCGCGCTCTTCTGAGGCTTGGCGCACTTGCACGCGAACCGTGTTCGAGTCCAGCACGCCCTCGGCGAAGGGACACAGGTTGAGCCCGCACACCACGATGCGCGCCCACGCCATGACACGCGCTTCAACTGAGACGGGGTCGTACGTCGGAGGGGGGCCCGAAAGGTGGCCGCGTATGGGACGGCGACGGCGCCGCGAGGGCCGGGAGGCGCAAAGGGGATGGGAGGTGTGCATGGTGTGGCGCTGTGAACGAAACAAGGGCGGTAGAGACAGGAAAGCAGTCGTGAGGCGCTGAACGAACGCGGGGTTAGGCTCTGATGGGGCACGCATGTTGAGGGAAATAGTGGTTCGGTGGGAGAAGGAGGCAGAATAGCAGCAGTCTGCTGGGGGACGCCAGAGATCGCCACTGAAGTTGGCCAAGATCTCAGACTGGACACGTGTACAGCTTCAGACCCGGAATGAGGTGACCAAGCGGCGCTGACTTCTCTTCTGGGGCATCGACGATTCCTTTATAAAAAAAGTTGAACTTGCCCCGACAGAAATTGATTTCAAAGCAGCATCAGAAAGGCAATTCTTCCCTCAGGGTAGCGGAAGTGAGGGGTTCTTCAAGTTTTTGACGGGCTATCCTTAGACAATAGCTTTTGGCGTCTCTCCTCTTCAGCGAGCATACGCTGCAAACAGCTCGTATATCCCGTTGTCTTGTACAGTCTGGCAAGGAGGCAGCAATTCGGCCAAATCTTGAAGAATAAGTCTCTATTATGTTTTCGATTCTGTGGACACTCGTGCGCAAAAGTGGTGAGCTTCTCTTGTGTTAAGCTCTCTCCTTTTATATTTTTCGGAGTGTCCGTGCCTTGTAATTTCCTGTTCACGAGATGGTATCCTACTTAGCTGCGTATTTTCTTAGCCTGTCCTTTATGCTCGTGTTACGTAGTAATAATACAATTTAAAATAACTCTATAGAACCGTGATTTCACGGGTCTTCGATTTACTTGACCACCAACTCATCTCGAGCTCCTATTCGTTTTTGAGATTTATGTGCAGTGCGGGTTGTGCTGATGTCTCAGTAGTCCTACTGACTAGGATTCTGTTTTGTAACAGAGATCTAGCTAGAGCTTGAGACAGAGTTTTGGAGCGGATGAAGGCACATAGACTCGCTTCTGTAATGTGTAATACTGTACAGAGGTCCCCAGCGTCAACGCAAGTACGCCGTCTACAAATCGCATGGTATACTTCTACCCCCTTTAACCCAGGAAGCTCGGCAATTTCTTTCCAACTGCTGGTGCCAGCAGGAACTGCCAGCAGTTGGCACCAACTCAAGGAATCACTGTCGCTTTCGTTCTGTGCAGCAAGCAAAGGGTCAACACTTGTCCACGTGTTCAAACCTTCTTCATTTCTGTACACGTATAAACGTATGAAAATGATTTAGCCAACGGGCACCTACACAGTACAGGACTAAACTTTACTCCCAGAACAGGGTTCAATACAAGGGGCAAGACCGACTTGGGCTGCGACCATCACGTCACAAATGATTTTCAGTCGTAACTTACGGCTTCTGATGCTTATGGGAGTTGACGAGAATAGAAGAACTTTGTTGATGTCATGAAGCCAGACAACGGCGAGGACGGTTCGAAGGACTCCTTGTCGAAATCGCTTTGGCTTTCTCTTCGCCAAAAGGCCGTGGTGTATGCAGCAGCATTCGTCTTCGGATTTGTTCCAGCTCTTATTTTCATTCGGAGAGTCTACCTGTCCTATTCAAGCCGACTTGTCAAAGTCTTCCTGGCCATTGTGGCTCTGGGATATTTTCCCTTAGTCGCACTGTGCTCATCACTCGCCTTCGGCCTCTGTTTCTTTTGCTTACGTCAAACTACAGTTGTCGAACGAATTTTGAACAAAGTTTGTGACAGCATAGTCGAGTTGCTGCATAAGAAGCTTCCTTCATCGGCGCAAGATGCAGAGATGAGTGTTGACGAGCTCAATACTCGAGTACAGGAAGTAATCGATGCCGCCCGCAACAATAACGCCCGGAGTAAGAGCCCGCTTCGATCATTTGCCGGATTTGTTCTAGGACTTGCCTTCTTTCTCTTGAGAAAAGCTGCGAAACAGAAGTTCGAGAAGGCCATGATAACAAAGTCCGAAGGCGCCCCACCAATCATCTCAATCAAAAGTGCTGCAACTTCTCTTCAAGGAGAGGTCGTTAATGCCGTCCTTTCCCCATTCAAGAATACTGTGCGGATGTACTTTGCTGCATCTTTAATTCTGTCTTTGGCCCTTTTCGTTGTGCCACTCAAGTCTGTGGGGTGAAACTACGGGCAAGTGTCCTGCATGCAAGCTGCACTCATTGCATTTCTGTCTGGCAAGGGCTCGCAGTTGTCTTGCGCCTGCTAAAACTTCATTTGTGGGTAGTCGGAAGCTGAGCCTTCTGCGTCTTTGCCTGTATACGTGCACTCAATTACCTTTTCTACAGCTTGTCTCTCATGTTGCGAGCGGCTTCTAACGCATCCAAGCGTTCCCTGCCGTTTTTGCCGTGATATTGCTCCATTTCTTACTCCTAAAAGACCCTTTGCACGTGGGAGACCTTGCTCATGAGATATCCCTCTTTCCAGCGCCCCAGAAGGAAAAAGACATGATCGAGGCCACTTTCCATCTCTATGCACTGAAATTCGCGGAGTCAGTGTGGTTAGCTTGTCGCAGTATACGCAAGTAAGCATAAATTCATTGCCGCTGCTGCTCACACCCAATCCATGCGGAGATAAAGAGCACCTCAGGATGCGCCGATTGACACAGGAGACTGAGGTTTTGTTGGACTGCGCTGACTCCTACGCTGTAGGCTTGGTTTGGGATGTACTGGTCAGTGCGAGCGGTATCAGGCCTTCTGAAACGGAGTGGCTACTGACGGAGCCACAAGAACGCGAAGAGTGTGTAGACTCAGAAAAGGCACAGTCACACCGTCCTGCAGCTGCAGGAGTCGGACAATGTTTGTAGACTGCGGCAGTACATGTTAATAAGACGAAGGATGACCCGTGCCACTACTGTACAATAGCAATGCAATGCACGACACACGTGGCGTTGCTTGTCAAATCGCCCGCATGGCCTTGCCAGTAGACGCTTTCTGCTACCCTTCGAAGGGTAGACGCTTTACGCCTGCGCATTTCTGCAGTGTCTTCCACACTATCCTCACTGTAGGTACCCTTGGTATCTTAATCAAATTAAACAGTCAAACACAAGCAAGCACAACTGGACCAAGCGTGCCCTAAAACAACTCTAGCTGTAATGCTGTAACGAGGTGCCATGGAGAAGTCAAGCATCCCTTTTCGCTACGGTCACGCGGAAACAAGAACAAAACCATAAGTCTAACACGTTTCGTGCATGAGGACATGATGACGATACCTTTCATAACGTGTACCCTTCGAAGGGTACATGCTTCCGGGAAGAAAATGTCAATGTGAGAGCGAAATGACAAAAGCCTGTTCATTGGGTGTAACTCTCTTTGCTTGCCTCTCAACTTGCATCAGTATTCCACTGGTACCCAACGGTACCCTTGGGTACAGTATGTATGCTTTTGGAAGAATTGGCTCGCTCAGAAGGACATTGAATAAAGAAATAAAAAAAGGAGTATGAAAGAACGCTGCATGTGCCAAGTCCTTTCCAGAGATCTGAGATTTTGTTCGAATGGATCCTTATGGAAAGCGAATACAGCAGCAGATACTGTACCCCAAAGGAGTCCAACTACCGGGCCCTGAAGGCGTGCCCGCCTACTGCGGGTACAGTAGCGTGTTTGGGCTAAATCCTGCAATAGAGGTGGCCCGGAGGTTCTGCGTAAACGTTACATGCTAATTAGGCCCAGCCACACACGGTATATTTTTCGAAGCCAACTAAAATTGTACACCGGGGCCTTGTTGGGCAGCTTGTAGGGCAGCTTGTAGGGCAGCTTCTAGAAGCTAGAACTAGCTAGGGCAGCCTCAATATTGACCTTCGGGACGGCCGGACGCCCCAGAGGAATTCTGCAGTTGGTCTCAAGTCATTCATACTGCACTGTGTGCTGTGAGGAGGAGCCTATGCAATTTCATCCGAACGCATGGCTAATCTCCTTATCGTGAAATCTTGCCATGAAAATTTTCCTGCATAGCTCTTAAATGCTCCTTATTTCTGTGACCGGCAACTATTTCCACGCACGCAAGTCAATCGAGAATGATAAAACCGGTATTTTCTCCCCCTGATTCTGAATACACGTACTCGAAATTTTTACTACTACCGGTGCGGACCTCTTGAGACACGTTCCATATGGAAAGACACCGAATGGCGAATGGCAGACTGCTGTGATGACTAGAGGCGAAGAATTCCCAACCCGTACAGAACACACATAAACCTAATCCTGAGTGCTTCGGTTTACCGAGATGTTTTCAGCATACACCATGTTAGCATCATGCTGTGGAAAGCCGCACTTTGAGTTTCAGCAACACTCTTGTTTTCTCCCATTCAAAACTCTTCGAGTCCTTCCGGGGACAAACAACTAGTGCAACCAAAAGAAAAAGAGCCCCCCCTGGTGCCCTTCCTCTGTTTTACTCTGTGGTTGCCACAACCTTTCGCGCTCTCAATAGGCCGAAGCACTGGGTATGCCACGCAAGCAGTCGCACCTTCCTTCCTAAACTACTCTAACTTCCGTTGCGATTGACCCGTTTTTCGATGGGGGATTTCAAACAAATCAATGACAAGTGGGGATTCCCCTACTATACCATCGATCTGAAGGAGATGCCCAAACAGGTGAATCTGAGTACTTTCTCAAAAGATACCAGTGGCCTTTTCTCCCATCGAATGAATGTTTCAACACACTTAAGGAGCCGTTTCAACTCGGACCTGACAGAAGATCGCGATGAAGTCATCCTCGCGTTTCTCGCTTTGATTCTTATGTTTATTATTGAAGCAATCGTATCTGCAATTCTGTTGCGTACGAAAGGGGATATCATTGGGAGATTTGGTTTTTCAGTCAAGTTACTGATAGAACTTATCAGAGATTTTGACCTTCATCGCATATTGAAGCCGGAATTCCGAAAGACTCAGTTAGGAAAGGGGTTCAACCTTAAGCTTATGTCCATCGCTATACTGATTTTGATTTTCACATTAGGGCTTGAAGTCGGGATCCTCTTTCTTACCAGCCGTGAACAGATACCTGTTTTCAACACGGAGAGAACTTTCAGACTTCGGCAAGGTCTTTTGTCGGGGTATGAAGAAGTTCGCTTCCACTCGAGAGCATCTCTAAACCGGCCTTGCATTGCTACAGCGTTGCTTGGTGTTGATGGTGGACGTACACAAATTAATGGATGTGTGACTTCCGGAATAACAGAGAACGAGTTTGACTTGTTTTCGAAAGTCAACGACAGCGTGAGAATTGAGATTGTGTCTCAATTGCATGAGTTCGGTGCCGAGCATAAGGTTAACATTGGAGAGGATTCAGCCACCTACCAAGCACGAGCATTTTTTTCTCTTGACGGAGATGGAGAGGACTCACGCGTCATGAGAGAGGGTCGTCCATCACCAAACGAAAAAGAGCAAATTCATGGCATTCACAAACAATATATTGCATTTTTGTTTTCGGCGTACAACGATGCCGTTGGAGATGAAGATACTAGTATGAATCTTACTCGGCTTAATGGGTTGAAATTTACTCACACTGTGTTGAAGGAAAATATGAATGTTTCTGTTATAAAAATCAAGGAAAAGGAGATAATAAGAAAGTCAAGAGGATATAAAACAGAAGTCTCTGGAATACTTCCCAGCGGATCTCCCGCATTGCGCTTGGCACAAGATATGTTCCGGGGGCTAACGGCAATAGAAGTATCAGAACCAGACGACAAAGAAGATCTGTTCGTCCAACAGGGACCTACAAGAAAAAGGGGGCCAGTGTGGCAGGAGAGTGGTAGGGTCGTGAATTGGTTATCTATGGTTATTGCCGTATCCGGCGCATTTGTTCTTTTGATTGTAATGCGAATTTGGCTTCGATCAGTTGGAATTGCGGATGTAGCTGGTGGTTGGGTTCGAAAAAGCGTTGGTGCAAACGTGGCAGTCCGCCCAATTCGATTTGGAGACAGCGTCAAGTCATCCTTCCGAGTACGAAATGAAGAAGGGGATCAACCTGCCGTGCGAGAGAGACTCTTTGATGGAGACCCACGCTACAGCGACGCAAATTATCAATGAGATGATACCGTACATGATCACAGAAAGTGTCAGGCATGCGCACGTTTGTTGGAATCAGTCCTGCGATCTCCGGACCAAATCTTCCTCTCTCGGCAGCGAGCCTAGGAAGATTTGGACCTGTATGCGTCATTTGAGCGATAGGCGTATCCTCTGGAAGATCGCCCTGTGTTGTTGTACTGTTTGAAATAGACGAAATCTGTGTCCTCATGTCCACACTGCGGTAGTCATGGTTTGGCTTTCCAACGCATAGAAGTGGGGCTCGGCTGATTTGACAAGTGCGCTTATCTACCCGTAATATAAATATATATGAAATGCTCTTACCTGAATGCATATGCCTCGAACGCTTCACCTACCCTTGTACATTTCTAGCCGAGTTGCAGCAGTGCCTTTCGAGGTGTCAGCGTGGCATCACGCATGTTGCTGCCCGTACCACCGTGCACCCTCGATCCAAATCACGCTTTGTTTTGGAGCAATGTTGTTTCCTGATGGCAAATGCTGCTGATTTTTCGCGGCTCTCGCTATTCATTGCATCCTACATCCAAGCATTTGAGATGAAGTCGATGGGAAGATGTAGCTACAAGTACGAAAAGCAGTATTTGGGACAGGACGAGACAATATGATGAATTTGTTTTTCGGAATCCCGACAGAACTGTGGTCATCGTCGCATCCCGATGCAGTGGCAAATCTGATTCCATCAATAAAGTCGGGTATGACCAGATGCGGTATCGAAAGTCGAAGTAAATCTACGCAGCTGGAGGTTGGCTCACTAAAAAGACGGTGCAAGACATGGTCAGCTGAATTTAAAAATCGACAGTTCTTTACCATCACAAGAATGGTGCCTCTCGCCGAGGAACAAGAGCTGGAGTGAATTCACACAGTTCATTCGAACAAAAGTTACCATGGCACAGCCTTCAAGCTGCAAGTCAAAAGACAACGCGCGCTCAACCCGCACTGCAGTGCTAAATATGAAGGTTGTTGCAAATTTTTGGATAGATATCAACAGAAAAGGCCGTTTTTGAAAGGGGTGCGAAAACACTTTACGGTAACATTAGGACAATGTCACAAGCGTGTGGGTGAGCAGGGTTGCTCCTGAGACAAACTTTGGTGCTGCCGATGCCAGCTGAACGAACTCGGAAGGGATTTTTTGTTCACCCAATGGCATTAGACTAGTGGTTAATTCACGATTTTATTGTAAGATTTTTGCTGTAGTCTGCCGCCTTACTGCCACTGCTCGTCGTCGCCCCCTTTCCCAGTAGCTCTCAGTTCATACTGGAAACTTTTGTTTCACTGCCCTTTACACGCCCTCCTCCCCCTCTCTCCCCGAGACTCACTGAACTATTCATCCAGACGTCGCAAGAGATTCTAGTGCGCCAGGGAGCGATAGCCTCACTTCTATGGGCAGGAAAGCGAAGAAAAGCGACCTTGGACGAGCTCTGACGCGAAGGCGGCAACGGGACAAGGAAGCTGCTAAGCATGTAGGCGACAAAAATTTGCTCCACTCGGGCCCTAGTGTGTATGAAGACCAAGGAAACCTCCAGTCTGTGCTCGATGCCACTGACTTGGAAGAGTTCATGCTCAACGCGACCATGGCCAATGAAGATTTTATTGCAGAGCGATATCCACAACCCCTTGCACCTCAGACTGTGGTGATGACTCCGCTTCACCAAAACACGGCCTCGGCGAGTCATAATGCGGAGAAAAGGAAGCTCCTCGACAAAACGGTATTGAGAATACCACGCAGGCCACCTTGGGACTCAACTACGACGCCAGCTGTGTTGTTGGCAAAAGAAATGGACACGTTTTTGAGGTGGAGGAGAAAAATCGCCACGCTTGAGGAAGAAAACAGGCTCTCTTCATCCGTCGCTGGCCCCATGATGACTCCATTTGAAAAGAACATTGAAGTTTGGAGACAGCTTTGGCGTGTCGTCGAGCGCTCAGACGTGGTTGTGCAGATTGTGGATGCGAGAAACCCGCTTTTGTATTACTGCGAGGATATGTACCGGTATGTAACTACCGAGATGGGCCGTTCACATCTGCTCTTGCTCAACAAGTCTGATCTTCTCTCAAACCAAATGATCGATCGCTGGGAAGCCTACTTCAAGGCTCAGGGCATGGATGTTATCTTCTTTTCCGCATTCAAAGCTAGCGTAAATGAACCTGTAAGCGATTCGCGAGTCGTTGGTGTTCACGACCTCATTGAAAAGTTGCAGAGTTTTGAGCACAAGGCCCCAATCACACAACCGAATCAAAGGCTCGTCGTGGGGATGTGTGGCTACCCAAACGTTGGAAAATCCTCCACGATCAACGTTCTTGTTGAATTTATCGCCAGCAGTGAAGCGAAAGAGGATTCCCAGGGACATACACAGCACAATGGTGACATGCAATCATCTGCTAGTACCGAGGAAATGGAAGGCGCCGAAGCTGGTTCAAAGCAGGCCAAGCGAGTGGCAGTTTCCTCTACTCCGGGTAAAACAAAACATTTCCAAACGCTTGTCTTGACGGAGAAAGTGCTATTATGCGATTGTCCTGGGCTTGTGTTTCCCAATTTCTCGTCTTCAAAGTCAGAGCTGATCTGTGCGGGGGTGCTGTCTATTGATCAGATGCGTGGCGACTACCTGGTTCCTGTATCACTTATTGCTGCCCGAATCCCAGCATCCATCTTTGAAGGCGTATATGGTATTAGGTTTCCGGTATTGGTTGACGGGGTTTACACCGACACGGATGCCCTGTTGCGTGCCGCTCCAGGTTATGTTTCGGCCACGATGCTTCTCGACACTCACGCACGAGCGCGCGGGTTCATGAGCGACCATAACAAGCCCGATCAGAGCCGATCGACGCGTGTATTGCTAAAAGATTATGTGAACGGGCGGATTATCTTTGCTCACGCACCGCCTCCGCGAGACGTTGCGGACGGGGAAAGCGGTATCGGGCCGGGAGTACACGCTAAGAAGGGAGCATTGGTGCACCAACGACAGGAAGCGGCGCAGGTCGCTTTAGCGAGTACGGGAGCGAGCAGCAACGCGCCTGTAAAGGGGGCACATGCAATGTCCAAGAGGCTGGTAGGCCGGGATGGTGGGTCAGACGTGGTGAGGGCGCGGGTGAGCGGGTCGAAGAAACACGAGCATCAAGAATTCACGCGAGTGCAACGCAGCTACTACCCCCCTGTTTGAGAGGGTTGGCGACGGGGTGAAGACTTGGGAGGGGCCGATGCGAGGAACAGGAGTAGGAGTTTTATTTTGCTATGGCCTTCAAGGCTTCAGAGGCTGTCGTAATGTGTGCGGCGGTGGAGAACTGGGAGTTATAGACGCTGCGGACGATTCCCTGCTTGTCGATGACATATGTGACTCGTCCGGGCAACAAGCCTAGAGTGGACGGGACTTTGTAAAGTTTTCGCAGCTCTCCTTGCGAGTCCGGGATGACGGAGAAGGGGAGGCTATTCTCGCGCTTGAACGCAGTGGTATCGCTCTGTGCCGACACGGCGATGATCTCGGCGTCGAGCTGAGCAAAGTCCTCCGCGGCGTCTCGGAAGGAGCAGCTCTGGCTAGTGCAACCGGGCCCAGCTCCGTTGGAGAAGTAGAGCACGACGTTGCGTGAGCCGCGGAAGCTGGAGAGCGAGACTTTGTTGCCGTCCCCGTCGGTCTTCTCAAAGTCGGGGGCTTGGGCTCCTTCGGCGACCATGGTGACGAAAGAGCGGGCTGCCGCGTGCGGCGGTGGGAGGGCACGAGCGCGCTTTTGGGTGAGGGCGTAGCGAGTGACTGGGAAGCAGACGGCGCGCGACGGGAGAAGCGGGGTGCGGGTGAGGAGGGGCGAGACAATGAAGGCGGGGGACATGGTGAGATTAAAGTGAGTGGAGGGGGAGGTACGACTTGCTGCCCCAACCGAGACCGGTTGATATGAACACCCGTTTTTCTGATGGCGCCATCTGTGAATGGATGTTGGGGTCGTACAGGGTGACTTGGCGTGCGTTCATTGGCGGTTGACATTTCATGATATTTCGGTCAACAGCTCTGCCCAGAAGAACGGGTTGGTGCCACGCATCTCCTTGACTGCAATTGCCACCTGCACCACGTGGTATGGACAAGGCTGTCAGATTTTTTGCTGCTGGTCTGCCGCTCCTTTATGCATTGCCCCGCTAAGTTGGTGCCCGCAACGGGCACACAGGGTGTTTCGGTCAATTCGTCTGACCCTCTCGTCCGCAACTGAGACGACTCAAAGATCCACGTCGATCCAAGTCACCCCTTAGTCTTGTTCTATTCGACTTACAACGCGGAGTATCGCAAAAGCTAGAGAAATTCCCGCCGTGCAATTTTTTCCGCCCCCGCACCCTAGGCCGATTCAAACAGTTCCTGCCCTGCTTCTCACATTACCATAAAGCTACTTTCAGCATCATTCCTATCTCGATGGGGTTTCTCGACAAAATATTCGGTCGAAAAAACTCTCCGCATGAAGAACTGCCGTCCTCCATAGGCCCGTTGGGCATGCCGGGCGACTGGCAGCCAGTGCCTGAGCTAAGCGACGACTTCTCGGGCTCCGCGCTTGACACCACCAAGTGGGAGCCGTTCAACAAGACATGGAAAGGGCGTGCGCCGGGCTGGTTCAACCCGTCTAATGTGACGGTCTCGGGCGGCTCGCTGAACCTTTCCAGCCGTGTGGAAGAGGCGCCCGCGGGCTACCCGGAGAAGTTCCACACGTTCTCCACGAGCTTCGTGCGCTCCAAGGCGCGGATCAAATACGGGTTCATCGAGGCGGTGGTGCAGACGGCGGACTCCGTGACCAGCTCATCGTTCTGGCTCGTGCACAACCAGCAGGAGGATTGGAACGAGATCGACGTGTTCGAGTCAAGCCAGGCGGCGGGGCACGAGCGCAAGTTTCACATGAACATGCACGTGTTCCGCAAGGACGGCGCCAAGCTGGCGCAGACGTACTCAAAGCCGAAGTGGGTGCAGCTCGAGCGCAGGATGTGCGAAAAGGCGCTGGTTGTCGCGGTGGCGTGGGATGAGGAGTACGTGACGTGGCTCGTCGAGGGCAAGGTGGTGCGCAGGGAGAAGAACGAGGCGTGGAATCATGAGATGTGGTTGCAGTTCGACTGCGAGACGATGGGGGGATGGTTCGGGCTGCCAGAGGTGGGGGATGGGAGACTGCCGGCTGTGTTCCGTGTGTTTGCCGTGCGGACGTGGAAGAAGGCGTGAGGTTACGGGTGATCTGTTGCGTGATGGTAGGGTTGTCGCAAAGGATGCGCATGGCCGAGGCGGCGGATGGGAGGGCTTCCATAACAAGAGAGCGCGCTGTATGTGTGCCGAAAGGATGGATCGAAGGGTCGGACTCAGGATCGCTTTCGAGCAGGTAAATTTAGCGAATTGATCCACGGCGAAGGGCAGGTGCGTACGCGCGGGCAGAAAACGAATCTAGCGCGCCAATCAGGTGGCCGGGCGTCGCAGCCTCGGACGGCTGGCGGCCAATACATTTGCAGAGCTTACAGAGCATTGTAGCTTGCAAGTCGCGCACTGAGGGCGTCCTCCAACTGGTCGAAAGCATCTTTCATGTCGTGCAAATTCACACCAATACCCAATACACAATGGGCAGCATCCAAGCGGCGTCCAATCGCACGCGCGGCCACAGTCTTACCCCCTGCGCAAAACCGCCGCCACGTCCCCAAGGGAGCAACCGTCCCACGTGTGCAAAAAACGCATGCAGTCTGCAGCACCCCGCCGCACTGCACCCCGCCACTTTCTCTACAAGTACACTCTTGTACCACCTCCGTCTCTACCGCCCCCACCAAGTTCGCCACCACCCCCGCCCCCCCTCCTTCCCCCCCTGCACCAATCCGCCACTCCATTCCAAACAACATGCCGTCCCGCACCCACCGCAGGCCCCCCTCGCCCCGGCAGTCCGCCGCAAGCTCCCCCAAACACCTTCCCCAAACGCCGTCCGCTCCCTCAACCCCCCAGCAGAAGCCCGCCGCCGCCCCGCAGCCGGCCGCCCTCATCCGCATCGCGCTGGACCCCGGCATGGGCGGCATGGGACTGGGCTGCACCAGCGGCTGGGCGACCTAGCTTGCCCGCCCGTCGAGCAACCTCCATGCGCTGCGACGGCCACCCGACGTCGGCCTCGTCGTGCTTGCCCTTCCTGTGCTTCGCCTTTTTTCTTACCGCTCGAAGCCCGGTGCCGTGTCCCGCTTGTTTTTATCCCGCCTTTTCGAAGGTGACCGTGTGCCGTCCACAGGCTGTCTGCTCTCGGGTTGCTATTGACATGGGTCAACGCCTCGGATGCCGATGAATAGTTTTTTTCTGCTTCTTCCTTACCTGTTTTGTAACTTGGGTTAAATAAATCCATCCTGTATTTTAATCCGGTTGTCGCCCAGTCGCTTGGGGCAGATGGCTATCGACTCCCCATCTGGCCTCTGTCGCGTCGTTGTTCTCCCGTCTCGCATTGCGCTGTCCGAAACGCAATTGCCACCCGCCAGCAGCTTAGCTGCTCCCAAAGCTTGCCCCGAGCACGCCCCCTCTCCGGAAGCTATCCCTCACGCGACTGCCTACCTTTTTTCTGTGTTCAAGGGCCTGTCCCTTCCACCGAAAACCCTCGTCCCGCTTCTCCTTGGATGGTGCTGTAATCGTCAAGTTTTGAAACGTTGCGATTCTGTAGATGGTGATGGATTGCCTCTGCCATGAGTACACTCGCTCAACCCAAGCATAAGAATGCGCAAAATCGTCAAAATTTGGAAGCAGTTGTTCAGTTGTGGATGCTTTCGTGTCTGCCCAGATATTTTCCATTCTGAGATTTGCTGCGCAGCGACTTCTCGAGATGGACTGTACAATCGTCCACTTTCATCAACTTTGCCGCCAAAATGAAGGGCATGCCTACACGTGTCCACGATTTGACGAGAGTTTTGGATCACGGAGCTGGACGGGCAGGACAAATCGTTGGATCAAACTGTGCGATCACCAACGTTCAAAGTGTGAGTCAACGGCGGTGCAGACTTGTGTTCTGCACGCTGGCCCCCTTCACTTGGATCACTATTAAAGAGCTCGATTCCAGTTACGATTTCAAAGGCTAGCTTGAAGCCGCGAGTTGTGACCAAACCAACACTCAGCCCTCGGTTTCCACTTGCCACTGGCAAGATGATATCGTCACCAACTCACCGTTCACCATGAGCGCACAACTTCACACGGAATTCGCTCTTCCATCACAATACCTTCACAGCCACATGTGGCCACAGACCTGCATGCGCTTCCGACGTGAGGCTGGCATCTAACAACAAGGTATGTCTTTGCCATCTTCTATTTCCTCCTCCATTTCGAGATTCTGTGATGAGTAATTGTTATCCCTGGCAAAGAAGTGGACTAGATCCACCGCTGCTGAAAGAACTACAATAGCTGTTTTACCCTGAGATCAAATATTTCCTTGTCTACCCATCCGCCATTATGATGCAAGACGCGGTGCACAACATGATCCACTAACATTGACACCGTTGTTACGTCGATTTTTTAGATGGGCATCTTGACATTTTTTAGCCATCACTGCCGACCCATTTCGGCGCTTGAGCCCAGACCCATTTCGGCGCTTGAGCCCAGACCCATTTCGGCACTGAAGCCTGAAGGCAACAGCGCCTTCTTCGGTCTCGTTGAGCAGGACGCCATACCGCATTCGCGCGCCCGATGGTCCACTTCCCAATGGCTGGTGACACGAAGGGCTGAGGTAGAACAGTTTCCAGCGATTCGGTTGCAATTAAATTATATTCCCGCTGGTCGAAGATGGCATCACGACGTTATAGCTATGTAAATCACAACTGTTGAGCTAGACAATAGCATGCCCACGGTGCTACGCTCACTCATTAAATATTTATGATCAAACTTTATTCGTACGGCTGCGCTTGATGCGCTCCAATGCTCCCAGCGGTTTTCCGTCGTCCGCATTCATCTCTTTGGTTTCTACCTCATCTTCATCCCGCTTTCTTTTCGCATCTGGATGAGCTGTGCCCACCAGCATTTTCAAGGCCTCTGGCAGCTCCTTTTGTACAATATTCAGCTTTTCGTCTTTCTTCGAGTTGTCTTGCTCTCCGCTCTTCTCGTCCTTCACCTCTGTGGTTTCTGGACGACCCGTTTCATCGTCCTCATCGAGATCTAAATCTAGTTGAATCTCTTCCGTATTCGACACTGGTGCAGTCGGCTCAGCGGTATGTGGACTTGTCTGTAGAGTCGATGCACGGGTCTCTGCTTCCCTCTGCTTCCCTCGAGGAATCGCTTCGCCGTTCAGAAGGACATCATCATCCATGATGACTCCCTTGTGATTCAGCTGAACTTCCCTCTTCTTTCGTAGCATGTCCCGGAATGTATCCTCTGAACCATGCGACAACTCAAAGTCATTCCAGGACGTCCAAAATATTTCATAGATACCTCTCCGCCGAGGATCTGCGACTTGGCATGTATGATCATATATCCCGCGAGCGCGGTCAATCTCGCCAACTCGGGTTTCCATGCCTGCGTATCGTATTGCAAATTCCAACACATCCTCCGACCTTGTCAACGACGACATTGCTTCCTCGTAAATGTTTCTGGTTTTTGTGCTTCCAAACAGAGTGGCTGTTTTGACTATGTACAATCGATATAAATCCGCGCGGTCCTCCTCCTGGACAGCCTTCACAGCTCTAGACAGAACCTTCAACGCATGACGCGCGAGACTGTGTTCTTCTTCCATTTCGGCATACATGATGTATAGGAGCCCTAGTTGAGGGTGCGGCAGCTCATACCCTCCTCGACGAGTACTTGGAGCTGACCGTATGGCTTCCTCAAACAAATCTCTGGCTCGCTCCAATTTTCGCGACCCGAAACGCTTTACGAATCTCGTCAGGTAAACGACCCAGACCTGCAACGCATCGGGCCATGATAGCACGGACGTCCCCTTATCGTAGAGCCGAAAAGCTTGTTCGAACAAGCTCTGCCGCTCGAGGTAAGATGCACCACTGAGCACTGTTTGAGGAGACGCGATCCGCATGTCAAACATCGAGTGATGCATTTTGAGTACTTCGTCTGTTGTCGATATGGACTGGGTTAAGTCGATCAGGAAGTGCCACAGTCGCATAGACTTGTAAAAGTTCCACGCTGGACTGGACGTGTCGTAGACATGCTTGATTCTAGCGTTTCCAACTCCGGTCCCTGCTACAGCAGCGGCATTGGAATTTGACTCGCCTCTTCTATTCTTCGCTTCTTCTCTTCGTTTTCGGTCAGGTTGCGTCGTTGCCCTGATGAGAATGCTACGTGCTGCTTCTGGTGTCTTACATCTCAGCTCCATCTCAGCATATTCACACCAGACTGCAGCCAGATCTTCAGGGCCTTTAAAGCCTTCTGGATCCGACACAGCCTTCTCCAGGACTTGACGCGCCGACTCAAGCTCACTGGCGTCTTCGTAATACCTCGCGAAAGCGAGCCACAAAGTGTGCGGCCTACCGTTTGTCGCACGCCAAGGATTTACGGTCTGCACAGCTTTGCTGTAGGTATCAACGACGTTGGGGGCGTCTTTTGCTTGCTTAAACATGCGAGCACGCTTGTGCCATTCGTGGACGTTGTGAGGGTTCTGCCTGAGCCGTACATCTGAAAGCAACATCGGACGTCGGTTGGTCAGGTATTCGAGGCGAGCGATTAGAAGTTCAACCATTTCATTGGCTTCCTTCAACTCTTTGCTTCTATCCTCCTCCTCGCCAGCTTCCTTAAGCTCGTCTTTAATCGCCTCCACGTCTTCCATTGCCGCGCTGACCAAGCTCTCCTCAAACTTGGCGTACGCATCGAAGACTACAGCAAAATCTCTGACCACATCAACCCTCGTAATCGCGTCCTCGTAGACGTTCCGAGCGTCCTCAAACAAGCCCTTTCGGATAAAGTATTCACCAAACACGACCCACAGTTCACCAACGTCGGTCTTCGCCGTGGTAATGGCCCCTCGAAACAGTTCGGGCACATCGACGCAAGTCACCTCCTTCGGATGCCGGGCTGCAACTCGAGCAAGCTCCATCCACAGCTGCTCCCTCGTTTTCTTACCCTCAGGAATCCAATCCGGATCCGCCAAAGCAGCGCACAGATGGCTGACGGCTTGATCCCAGCACTTTGCCTTCAGCAAGTGGCGGAACAAGCGCTCCCTTCCCTTGCCGGGACGCAACTTGGCGTATCTTCGTAGCAAGAGGACGCTGACTCGCGGTGGGACGCCCTTCGCATCGACCATGTGCTCCATCAAGAGATGCCAAATGGTTTCATGCTGCAAAATCGGAAGCACTCGAAGCGCATCATTCGCAGCTTTCCTCACAGCCGTCCATCTGGCCTCGTCCAGCAAGTGCTCAATATACTCCCTCCACAGCACCGGGCTAAGGCGCAGTGCGCGGGCAGCGCGGTTCGACACGTCGAGAGCGGCCTGTCTCGCGGGGTGCATCGGGTGAAATGTGGACGCATATTCGCGAAAGGCGTGGGCGTACGCACGCCACACTTTGTAGCTTCCCGGCAGTGCTGCAACGGCACGCTCGTACACACAGAAGAGAGCGCCTTGGGATGAGGGTTGCTTCGATACATGGGATATGTAGGAAAGCCAGGAAGATAGGGCGTACGGGTCTCGGGTTACGCGCTCCTCTAAAGCTAGGGCAGCGGTAGTGCGAAGCATTCTCGGTGCGAGATGGGGGTAAACGCGTGCGGGGGCGCAGTCATCGGGGCATCGCTGGCGTGGGAGATGTGGATTTATTGACTGAATTGGACGGGGACGATTGAGAGCGCTTGTACTCATCGGCTTCTCTTCTGCGTGAGACCTTACTTGCGTTTTGAGTTACGCGTGTCAACAAACCATAAAAGACCGCCAGCGTCCCGGTGCAGTCAATGCGGGGATTCGTTCTGCTTTCTTCGCCGAGCCCATGACAGAAGAAAGGAAACCCCAAGTAAAAACAACTCAAAAATGGATCCAACTCTTTTTTTATTTTTCGTAAAAAACTCCGGACTGTGATCTCAGTAAGCCGCCCCAGGCATCCCCTCTCATTCCTCCGCTACTGTACGTATTGAATTTCAGTTCGGTATTTTCCTGAAGTCAATAAAACCCTTCGACAAAAAGCTGCCGCTGCTTCTCAAAAGCGACAAGCGACTGCAACCCCGTTCATCAAGGACGGCCCCGTATATCCGCAAACCAGAAGGGACACTTTTCTCCCCCCTCCACCTCCGCCAGAGCTATGCGGTCCCTTTCACGATGTCCATCCTACCGACCATGGTCACCTCGCCCACTTCCTTTCACATAGAGGGAAGCCTGCGTCTTCTTCGCCGACCGTTCCCCCCACCCTGGCGTCATGAGCCTGTCATTTCTTTTCCTCGTGTTGCTCTTCTTTTCAATAAGTCATTCCGCCACATCGCCCCCGAACCAGCGCGCACAAGTACCTCGACAAACCTCGCCTCCTAAAAGCTATCTACTTCCATCTACCACTCCGCGCCGTCACGCTCGCTCCTTGCTGGCGAGTAATGAAGGCTCGGTCTTCGAGACCCTGCATTCTGGGGATCTGCTTGCATCCTTTTCCTATGTTTTCGCCACAATTGCATGCACAGATGAGATGGAGGCCGGAATCTCAGTTCTCCACGAGAGTCTCTTAGCAAGTGGCCACCGCGAACCACTTCTCGTCATCACCGGCCCGTCCATGTCCACACACGTCAGGGCGAGAATGGCAAGAATGCCTCTCATCAGGATTTTTCGCACGTCCTCGGGATACAAAGGGTTTTGCAAAACTTCGAAAAGTACTAAAACCGCTCACATCAGTGATTGCGCACATCTTAAGATTATGCTTTTCTCGCTTGACAATGTCAAGAAAGTCGTTTTCTTGGAATATGATACCATCGTCATGAGGCCTCTCACCGAATTGGTACAACTTCCGCCCTTCTCCGCAGTTCGGGAACCGCACGTTGCTGATTTCGAAACGGCGGTAATGGTTCTCGTCCCAGACCCGCAAGTGTACGGCTTATTGCGCAAGGACTTTTGCAATGACGTCAACCATGACCGTAACACGAGTGATCATCGTGCGCTGCGAAAAATCGTCCCAAAGGACGCATGGACTGAAGCGTCTGACACGTACAATGTGCCTCAGCAGCATATGGATGTCATGTGGTATCGGAGTGTCGAAAAGAGGCCCGCAATTATTCACTACAAGGGTGCCACAAAGCCCTGGAATTGGTGGCGCTTGGGGAGTGGTGAACCAATCTCAACGGACGCTTTTAACAGATGGTGCAAATTTGCTGCAACCACGCGCTTTGCGTGTGGCGCTCCCGAGTGGGGTGACGCCATGAAGCCCCCCATGAAACCAACCAGCTGGTCGAGCAAGAATAAGATTACCGTGATACTATCAACCTTCCACAGACCCACTTGGGTCGAGTTGTTGCGCCTCTACGTGAGCTTCAAGACTGTGAGTCGTGTCGTTTTGGTTTGGCATGACCCGTTCGGAGACCCGCCGTCAGCATCTACGTTGGGACCAAAGGTTGTTGTCTGGCAGCCGAAGAGAGACTCTTTGAACAATCGCTTCTTCGCACCGGGAAATTTAGAAGATTGTGTGTACATCGCTGATGACGATATGCAGGTGACCGAGTCGCAGCTAAAACAAGGATTTCGTGCATGGAAGAGTCATACGCGACGGCTAGTGGGCTTCTTTCCCAGGAGATGGACGATGGATAGTCCGTACTACTCGACTCGCGTGCATGATGGATACAACATCGTTCTCACGAAGGGTTTATTCACACACCGATATTTTCTGTACATGTACGTGCACCTGCTGCCGGCGCGTATCAAAGAAGTAGTTAATGAATTTTCCAACTGCGAAGATATCCTGTTCAACATGATGGTCTCCGGGTACAATGGACTGGCGCCAATGCACGTTCTCGTTGAAGGGTCGATAGTGGACCTCGGCCGCGATGGAGGGATTTCGTCTAGTGGATCGCATTATGCAACGCGTTACAAATGCGTGCACGCACTTATTCATGAGATGGGATTGAAGAAGGCACCACTGTCACCAGGGTCCTATTCAGAAAAGCCTTTAAAGAATAAAGAAAAGAGGTGACCCCTCTCATGGTTGAGGTATCGGGGCTCATGGTAGAGAGAGGGGATCTCGGGGCAAATGCTTCGAAGCAAGATAGGGACGGTGTGGCACGCGATCGAGCAGGAATATCT